GCTCTCGCACTAGTTTCACGTTTTCTTTCAGTCACTGGTCAAGAATATCTGTGGAAAACGACGTCGTCCATCACTTGTCAATTCTGAATGGAGTTTTTCATGTCCATGACTTTTCTCTGAGCACTGGGGAATCCATAGTCATCAAAGCGAAAACCATCAAAGCTGTGCGAGGAGAAAGGTACCTTCATTTCTTAGACAGTCAGCCCTCTGCGCTAGAGTGCTTTCATGCTTTGCGGTAGCGTTTTGAGGTGGTACGAAAACACTGGCGTACACTCAAAACGGTGGTCAAAACGCTGGCACACGCTCAAAACGCGGCCGCAGAGTGCCAGTTGCCATGCTAATTATGCCGCGAAATGGAACTTTTCTTTCAGATGTGTTACCATGCGGGATCGTTTAGTGTGTGCGGATGGCGAGTCGCTGTACATTGTGGACGGTATCACTTCTACTTTGAAAGATGAAAACAAGGCTATCGGTTTCAAGATCAAGTATGAATGCTTTCAAAAGTGTTGGTTCCTTGAGTCATTCTGTGCCTCTGTGCTCCAGAGAAGTGATAGCATTGGACATGGACCACCTCCTGGTCAAGGGTGCGACATCCGCGTCGATATTGCGTTTGAAACCGGATGGAATCCAAGAGGTTGGTGGTATCAAATGCTAACAGTGCCTTTGAAGGTGAAGACTATGCTTACAACCTTTTCGGTGCCTTTAGGTCTTATCCTTGTCGCACAATGTAGACTCAGCTGCGATTCATTCTGACACACTTGTCACTATCTCAGGGAAAAATCTAGAAGTCTACGATATGATAACATTGAAACGGACGTACGAGGTGGTTGTTTATTGGAATTATGTGGCGCAGTTTGGCTTGGTGGGGGCATATTGCTAGCAGCCATCAATCAGGCAGCGTTCAGTCTTCGCAATGACGCATGTTGACGCGCTGTAACGCGCGACGACGCGCTACAATGCGCTCGAAGCGCTTCGGCGCGCTTTGTTACAACAGCGCTTCGAAGCTGTAGAGGCGAACGCAGGTGCTGATGGCTAGTACCGATCGATAACAGCTTGTCGACTAGGCAACGCCTATCATCCTATTTCCCCATGCTCTCTCGGAACACAAGCGGCTGGCGTCCAGCGATCAGGCGTTTGCAGACGGGGTTCAATAGGCACCGGTCGTCTGCGGCTACGTTCGCATCGATAGCTTTGGAGCGCTATTGTAATTGTAGCACGTCGACGCGCGTTACTGCGCGCATCGTTGCGTGTTATAGCGCGCCATCATGAAGTCTGAAGGCTGTCTCACACATGTTGGCTCCTGTATGGCTGTGGTTCCTGTAAACTCTTGTAAACCTATAAAAGCACAAGCTTCACTTAGCAAGAGTTACTAGGTCCCATCAAGGTGAGACGTGTAATTTAGGAGGCACTAGCAAGAGGGAACACAGAGGTAACTAGCGAATGTGTAAATGCCCCTCCCAAGACGAGCAGTGCCAAATAAATTGTGTCATAGCTATTTCCGTGATGCACTTCATGTCAAATTAGGCTGCTCTTCCATCCGATGATGGAAATTTGGCTCCTGTGGAGACTATCTACATGTCCGTTAAGGAAGCCATAGAGCTGCTAATTGTAAGAAGCGATTGCAGGTGAGAATCATAGCTGCTGTAGGCAGAGCTATGCAAAAGTTACCTTGGTCATGCGGCTCTGCAGCGCTTGAAAAATCATTATTATTCTTCTTCAGAATGGAATTCGTAATCATTGACACTGCAAAGTCATCAGTTGTTTCCGAATGGGTGCGCGAAGAGGCTTTGGCACGAATCAGTACTGTGGAAATGGTCGATTTACCGTTGTCTGAATTGCAACAAATGATTGAAGACGAATTTGAAGAAGAAGGGGGTTAGTGGTTTGGCTCCTTCAAATGTATTTGTTTTCTTTTGTCTTACGGACTGTCCCCTATCCGAGCTGTTACGATGATGCCCACTTACATTGAGTGGTCCAATTGAGCAGTTTTCTGCAGCTAACGTCTCTGCTTCCTCGGTTTTGCCAGAGCCTCAAAGAGCCCAAACTAATAGAAATTGTCTTGGCAAGCACCCTGAACCATGATTTCCATATCCTTTAAACCCTAAGCCATTCTGTGGCATTGAGTGTTGAAGATTTATCACCCTGACGATCCTTTATGTTCCGCCGCGGTGACGCGTTGTCGAGCACCAGCTTGACCTGCTTGATCTGCTACCACCCAGCCTCTCCTCTGAAGTGAAATTTGTGGGAATCAAAAGTGTAGGTCAGGAAAAAAGGGACTTAAAGGAGCCAACCTTTTATGACTAGGCATCCACACTTCATGCTGATATCGACGCTTTTGCCAGAAATTGGTGTTCTCCCAAAAATAGAAACCAGTTCCTCCTCTACTGTGCCGCTATCAAGGTAATGACAAAATTTTATATCTGGACAATGTACTGTCTCGAAACCTCCATGTTGGTTTAAATGTTTACTAACAAGAATCCAATTTCATTCCAAGAAGCTCGAAAGGTTTAGTAGATCCCATATCATCTTTAGAATTCGCAGAAAAATTTATTATCCTGTATTGTTTCGTTGCGTACCGGCTTTATGAGTCTCGCCATACTTTCTTAATGTGGTTAGATAATACAAAAGGAGTAGGTAATACAAAGGGAATGGACAATGCAAAAGGAACACTAAAATAAATAACTTCCGACAAGCGAAAAATCTCGTCATTTGTAAGGTCATTGCTGATTCGCTTTGACTCGGGCATGGAAGTATTGTGCTTGCAGAAAATTAACGCGATTAAAACTTGTTTCTGAATGGCTAACTGTAAGTGAGACTCTATGCGGGCATCCATTTACGTGAAAGACTGGTTCCGGCACGCGGGAATCTTCCTTTTTATGAATCGACCGAGTCTCGGTCAGGTTGAAGCTGCACCTGAATCCCGCCGTCGAATATGTGTGGGAAGTGCATTATCAACGGGGAAAAGTTCTCATCATCAATGACCTATTCCGTACCTTTGGAAGTTCGGAAGCAGCCCCTTGGACATTTGTGAAGTTTTAATCAGGAAGAATGACTGCTGGTATCAGTGTCGACTACCTATCCAACTAAATATCAATCGTCATACTGTTTATTTTCTTGTGTTTCTACTTTCATTTGTTATCGGTTCTTACTCACATAGATACGCTAGAAATGCAAGTGGTTAGTGTAAATCACGTTCAACACATTGGCGACGTTGCGTCCCCAATGCTGGGATGTGGTATGGGTAAAAAACTATTCTGAATACGTTTCACAATTTTTCAAAAGCCATTACCAATGAAGGACTTTTAGAATGTATGGCAGCTGTGTACACGAATTCATTGGTGCGTAAGTTTTATAGAGGATAAAACGGAAGCGTTACTTTAAAGAAAAAAAGGAATTTTCGGCTGTATAAAGCCGAGGGCTTCCTTCTGATGATAGCTAATGTGATAAGGTAAATTCCGACAATAGGAGATCTAGACAGAATCCAATTTACGACCACTGGAGCAAAAATATTCCTTTTTGCGGGCTTGCCCCCTCGCTCCACGTAAATGAAGTGGAAGTATTTCATAAAGATTTGTGGTTTCTTGTAACTTATCAGAAACAGCGAAGCCTTTACTAGTCCTGCGTTTGGTCTCTGTACTATCTTCAATGTTTTGCTATAGCCAACATGTCAACATTACCGCGCTCTCTAAAAATAGAAAAAAAAACTGTTTCGTTTCCACGCGGCAGACACGCGAAAAGTCGCTTTGTCGCCAATGTGTTAATCCGTGAGTAAATCGCGTGAGGTAGTTCAGTGGCTCTCTTCGTCTATATCTCATTGAAGCACTTTTAGGCACGAGCGGTTTAATGTCGTCCTTCATTCGACGCTTAATCTCACAAACATCACAAATCCAGAAGTGGCTGATAAAAACGATAAATGAGGTACTCATTCATATGAAGCAAGTACTGTGATCAGATTCCATACGTATACCGGTTGTTACACTTCACCTTCTATACATGTATTTCAACAAGCCGAATTTCTCTCAAAGGCTCTTCAACAGTTCGCATCCCGCAGCCTAAAAATGGAAGTGAAGTTTAATGTTTTCTTTAAAGACACATGGTTCACGCTCAAACACATTGAGTGTAGACTAACAGCCCCAGCTGTCGATGTGTCGTGGTTTCCCCGCCCGAAACTGCACGGGGGTCCGAGTACGGGACCGTGGGAAAGGCTTATTCCTTGCTACACCGCCCAAAATGCACCGCGCGCACGTTGCATTTCGCCGTGCGCAAGTTGCATTTTAGGCGGCGTAGCAAGGAATAAGCCTTTCCCACGGTCCCGTACTCGGACCCCCGTGCAGTTTCAGGCGGGGAAACCACGACACATCGACAGCTGGGGGCTGTTAGTCTCATACACCCTCAATGTGGTTTGAGCGTACCATGTGTCTTTACATATCACGGTGTCACACACAATAACAACCCAGACACCTCTAGGCCAAGGCCAAGTCCGCAAACTTGCAATGAGCTTTGAATGGAGACTCTGGTCCGATCTAGAGTCTACAATAGTTATTTTTACAAATATAGAACAAGGAAACAACCTGCACAAAACTACATTCTCAAGCACTTATGAACAGGTAAATTTTGTTGTGGTGCAGTAGGGTGGAGGCTTGGTGGTGATCTGTGAAGCATAAGCGAGGAATCGCATATGTCGAATCGAGTCGTGGTGGTTCAGTGGTAAACAACGATCGAACTTCATCAACCAGACTCAATTAGACGTATGCGATTCCTCGCTCACAGCTCACCACCATGCCCCCATCCTGCTGCACCATTACAAACTTTACCTGCTCATAAGTTGCTTGTGAAATGCAGGTTGCAGTTTTGCTATCTATATTTGTAAATAACCTTAGACTCTATCGATCTACCCAGGTCTCCATTCAAAGTTCCATGGTAAGTTGGCGGACTTCCCTGTTAAGTAGTAGTGTAGTCTAAGTGTATTGCATTTCAGTCATAGCGGTGAAACTTTGGAACGAGACTTCTTCAATCTTCGTAAAATCATAGTTGCTACAACATTAAACGGGGTAGTGTTTGGTCTCGACAGCAGTGATGGCTCAATAGTTTGGCGCTTATGGCTTGGCAACCATTTCGCTCCCTTATCTAGTTCTATAGGGAATGATGAGGTATGTCTTAAGTGGATAACTTTTCAATAATGGTTCCACAAATCCGAGATAAGCAATTGGTTCAGGTGCCCTTGTTTGTGCAGAGATCAACAGCTCATTATCAGTTGCCTGGCCAAGCATCTGTTGCATTCAGAGATACGGTATGTTGCGATTTTGTTCAGCGTGGAACTGTTCCGATCGTAATAGAACGAACAGACGTCTGTAATAAGTGCTTGAAGGAATCTTTGACCGGCGTGTTGATATTCTTCAACCCAATTACTGGAAAAGTCGTAGAGAGAAAACAACTACCGACTCCAATATCTCGTGTTGATGTACTGAGTTTCGTGGGTCGGGAGCACATATATCCACTTATTGTTGTTGGAGCTAATAAGAAGGTGCGTTACACTTTACTTAATATCTTGAATTCAATGCTCATTCGCACAAGTTCCTTCCAAACCGTTTTCATTTCGGAATTGTGTTGTTATGATAACTGCTGTTTTGCGCCGCAGTTCGCGTTCCGAAAGTTATCACGAGAATGCTGAGTTATGAGCAAATGTCTGACCCCAGGCGGAGCTCGAACCCAAAACTCACGCTTTCCGCGCTTATATGCTATCCGCTACGCCAACAGGGCCGCTTGATGGCTTTTTTTGTGCCGGAGCCAATCGGCACGCACACGTTTAGCATGGTGAGCCGGTCAGCTGTAATCGTTAGATATCGGCACCATGTTAAACATGTGAGTGCCGCTTGGCTCCGACATAAAAAAGAGGCTAAAAGCGGCTCTGGTGGCGTAACGGATAGCGCACTCGCCCGGAAAGCGTGAGGTGCGGGTTCGACTCCCGCCTGGGGTCACGACTTTTGCCCACAACTCAGCATTTTTGTGATAACCTTTTCATTCGTTACTATTGACATTTCCCTGTATCTGTGTTATGGTCGCAAGATCATGTTAGAGAAACAGGCTCTATACAGTACCACGAAAACTGCGCGTGAAATTTAATGTGTCGTCTCCGTGAATGCATAGAATTAGGCATACTGTAAGCCGGTCCGTCTCCGGGTTGAGGCCAGGAAGTGGTGGCGTCATATGTGATGTTTGATTCACTGTAGACAGCCTGTATGGCAAAGTATTAAGAATTTATACTCGAGTTCGCTGTGGACGGTTGAGGCGTGTCAGGCAGTAAGAGTGTTCACACCGTCGAAAGCCGTTCTCTGCCTTCTTGTTGAAGCGCGC